ATTCATTCCTATCACATGGATCTGCCTGTTGGGAGAAGTAAGGAAGGTTTTCTTGAAGTGCACCTACCCTTCTGGCGGGAAGGCTTGCTGGGCAGGTTTCTTCTGGAGGGTCCCATCTCTCTGGAGTAGCTGCAGTGGAGTTGAGGGCAGGTTCTCCGGTGAGGTAGGAATGTGCAGGAACTCCGCCCTCTGGGCACAGTCACACAAACCCAGCAAAACAGCCAGAGCCAGCCCTAAAACCTCTAATGATCTTCACCTTCACCTCTTTCTAACCCGGTTCTCTACCACTTTTTGACCCATTTACCCAGGCACCTTCATCACGGGGAGCAGGGGTGGGGTGTGGGGGGGTGTGGATATTCAAAATAAGAACATTTCAGTGCACAAAATTGTCGAGAAGCTGCTAGAGACACTGGTGCACGGACAGGCGCCACTATAAGGTTCTGTGTGTCTATATATATCTATATATATTTATTGTAGTCGTGTAATATGTATGAACACATATTTTCTTGAGCAGGTATTTTTCGCGACTATACAATGAAGTACATAGCAGTGAATATCTACAGACAGACATTTTTTTCCCCCGTCCTAAGGGGAAATAAGAATAATTAAGGAATAAAACCACTGCTAAAAGAGTGAGCATTGCTCAATGTTCTTTCTGTAGCAAAACTCTGGTGTGGTTCAGTCAAAGCATAGCCAGAGTTCAGTGGGACTTTTCCTTGAGTAAATACTGAAGACGTGGTGATTGAGACCTCATATTAACACAAGTGGTGAGGGGGTGTGTACCTGAATCATAGTTTCTGACCTAAATCTTAATAATCATTAGAAGTTAAAAAGAACAAAATGAGGTCCTGGTTAAACTACTTTTTTTCAAGTACCGGATTAAAAAAATTGTAACTCTCCCAAACAGTAGTTTTATGCCATTTAAGGCAAAACACATTATTGTTCACTTTCTTTTAAACCCTTTCGTAAGAATACATTCCACATAACGGATGCTATTTTACAGAAACAAAAGAAAATATTTGAAATATGTCAAAAATTGGCTGACTAAATATCCCATTGTGAAATCGAGTTACAGTTTATTATCACTCAAACATGTTTGCGAAGGCAATCTTAAAATCGTAATTGGAGTTTTCTTGATGAGCAGATTTCTTCTACGATCTATGCGAGCAAAGTTAATCACCTCAAACATCAAGTAGGAAAATAACAATAGCTCCTTAATTTCATAAAGACCACCCGTCTGTCATAAATACTCTAAATTAACAAACGCTAAAGCAATGACGCTTAAAACACGGCAATATTCTAGAAATGTGCATATTAAAAAAAAAAAAAAACACCTGAAAGCTAGCATTAGCATTTGACATATAAACCACCATGGGAACAAGTATCAGATAACGGAATTATTGCCTGCCTTTATTTAAAAAAAATAAAATAAGAGAGGGAGAGAGAGAAACCCCAAATAAAATCGCCACCTCACATTCTGCAGCGATCGAGCCTGTGCAAAGATTAGCCTAAAAGACATCCTCAGCAAAAAAAAAGGGGTTTTCTGGCTGGGGAGCAGGCAAAGGTAAAGGCAGTTTGGGCCTTGGCAGTCCCCCTACAATCCAGGACAACTTCAGTTTTTTGGGTTTGTGTGTTTTTTTCCGTTGCGAAGACAGTCTCACTGCTGGTAGTATGTATGGAAACGTGAATAAATTACCAGCTCAACAACTACCCGTTCCCTCAGTGTAAGATAGAGAGGGGAAAGTCTGTGGCACCTGAATTGCTTAGGCAGCACTTTGCTACACTGACCCTAAAGAAACGCATTGAGATGGAGTGCTTGCTTAAACGAAGTCTGGAGAGACATACATCAGGGCTACCCTTTTCAGGAATTATTATGCATCACGCTTATCTAATTAATGCTTATTAGCCAGCCCCAAACTCTGACATGGCGAGACTGTGCTTTCCTCCAACCTGACCTGTCTTTTTCCTCCTTTTTGTACACAGTCAGCGGATTTTTTACGTTGTGAACTAAATAACACTTTTAAGTATGTGATATTGGATTTCCTACAGTATACAAGCAATTGCAAGTGGTAAATAATAAATCATTTCCTTTGTCAGCTGCAGCAGATGCCATTCTTTTCATTTCCTTAGGCACAAGTATAAAAAATGGGGTTTCGAGGCTTCAAGACTTTAAATCACACCTATTTAATTTTATTATTTACAATAGGTTTATTGCAAATGAGTTTTGGTTTTTATGCTTTTTAGGATAATTTCTTTTAGTGATAATAGAGTGAAGAATATGGGGGAAGGTATGCGCTTCCAAGTAGTGGTATCATTTCTTCATCCCCAAACAAAGCAACCTTTTTCTCATAGTGATGATTAATTTTGAATTGTACAAGTGATAGTGAAAGCCAAGAATATCAGAGGTTTCTCTCCTTCTCTCCCACATAGTGCAGAGCTGGGTGTCCCGTCTCTCATCCATAACCTTTCACTCCTCTCTTAATTGCGGATCTGCTTGCATCTGCTTATTTATTACTTATTTCAAAAGATTTTCCTTCCCTCCCTTATTCTTTCAGCATGACCAATATTCTGTTTGCAAGAACAGATTTGCTATTGCTTCTTTATTCACACACATCCCATCCCCATCTCCCCGCCCCCGGCTTTTTTTTTTTTTTTTTTTCCTCTTTTTCTTCCTCTCTTCTGTCTTTCTAAGATCATCTTTTTAAAGTGTTTGCGATAACATCTCCGAGCTAGAGGTTATTTCTCACTGGGCCTATTGTGAGCAGTTGCCGGCTTATTGCACCGCTGCAGAGCCCAGTTTAGACTACACAGGCATAACAAATGAACAACTTGTCCTCTGCAGAATCGCCGCGGGATCCAGTTAGTTCCTAAACCTTTTGCACAAGTTTTCTAATTATTTTCAAGAGTTGTGGCTCTAATAGGCTCCCCTAAACTCATCAAGAAACCAATTCTTTTTAGGATTAAATGCTTCTTAAAATCAGTCTTAGCGCTGCCCCCTTAAAGCTAATGGATTGATACTCCGGGCAACGGAGCATACTGACGGACGCCTGCCCGGGTTAGTGGGCTGCAGCAAGCATTACCATTAGCAAGCAGACAGTGAAAACAAAGTCCGTTTAAAAACTTTAAAATTAAGTGCATTAACATACGTTTGGGGTGTTGGGTTTGTTGGTTTTTTAGTTTGGGGTTTTGGTTTTTTTTTTCCATAAAACGTTTAAACATCGGTATGCAACTCAGGGCGGGTCACGTGACCCTCAGCCCTTCGCCTCACTGCACTGTACTGCAATTTCACCTCACCCCTGCTCGGTTCCTTCCCCGTCCGGAGGGCGCGAGGGGCAGAGGAGAGAGGTTCTAGTTGAAAACTATTGCCACTTTTCCGATATTTAAAGCCAAAGTGTTTGCAGCATTAAAAGTCTATAAATTCATCTAGTATAGATGCTTCCGGAACAGTGTTCCTTTAAGATAAGATTGCATTTTATACACATACATATCATACCTTGCTAAAAGTGACCAAATCATTATATAAAAGCTAATATGTATATGTATATACACACACATACACACACATCCATATCTAATAGATCTCCAGCTAGTAAGCTAGTCGAAATTACTATCTCTCAGAAGAATAATTCTTAGAATTTATTTCAGAGATTGTGAGAACAACATGTATCTATGTAAGAATGCACCTTGTTTTTTTCTAATGTGCGCATGTATGCTTTAATTTTTACATGTGTGTATATATGTATATATATATATACGTACGCAATTTTAAGCATCTTCAATGTAAGACAGTTTTTAGTAAGATATCCTACCTCATACTAACAGTTTTTAAGCAGACCTGATGAGAGTTGTGCCCCAAAAGGGACATAACAATAGTGACCATGGTGTTTAATTAAATATCTTGATCCTTTACATTTGAAAATACTGCTGTTAAAGACAATATGATCGGAGGTGGGTGCGGGAGGGGGTGGAGAAAGGAGCATGTGAAAAATGGTGGACTGCAGTAATAAGCAATGGTCTGATCTCCCTGTAACTTTAAAACCTCTGACATAATAATTTTAGTTAATAAAGGAGACAAAAAAACTATCAAGTATATATGAATTTAGCCTATTTTTTTATTTCTGTGTGTTCATAGTAAACATTTTTGTAAGTGACAAACACGGGCATATGACCACAGTATCACAATCAAGAAATTTTAAGACGACATTAACAATCACTCAAATTTATGCGGCATTTGCGCAACACAGGTTACATATTTGCAAGGTTTACCTATAAGTACAATAGGTATTAACATTTCACTACATTTAGAAAAAAAATAAAGGTGACCTGTTAGTGACCACATACATCAAAATATACACAACACAAACTGAAGGCAATCATTAATTTTGTCCCCTTCTGATTCATTGGAACGGGCAGTGCTGCGAACTGAAACAATGTTGCTGTTTTTTAAATTACTCCGTACACTGAGTGCATTTTCTAAAACCCAATCTTTGGTCTAAAAGTAAACAAACAAACAAACAAAAAAAAAGAACCACCAAAAAAAAGCGGTTTGGTAAAGAAAATGCTAAAATAATAAATGGCCAAAATGTAGTTCTTGGGCATCTTTCAGTATTAATTCTGCTTAAATACAAATTACTTCTAAAGTTTTTTATAGTTTTCATAAATTGAGTGGTGTTTTTTTATTTTTCCTTTCAAGGTCTGCACCCACCGACATATCCATGATAACTTATAATACTGCAAACATGGAGAATCTGGCGGCTTTTAGTGATAGACTTATCGTATTTGAATAAAAAAATTGCAAAAAGCAGTCACTATTTAGATACACATTCTACTATAATTTTGTCTTCCAAACTTCATAGTCTACAATGTAATCTCCCCACATTGCACCTTGCTGACACTCCTCACCTTGGTGGAATAATAAACAACCCTAAAGACTGAACAAACGTACAGAAAATGGGGGGCTTAATAAAAAATACCTGGACATTTTTGTTTTGCTTTTTTTTTCTTTTAATTATCATTTACAATGCAAATGTGTGTAAAATGTTCACTTACAGTCTGATCCCATGGATGTTAATGTATTAAAGGGTTTGAAGAAGACCCCTGATTTTGATGTGTGAAATAATCAGAAAGTCCTCCGGAAAGTCCCGTTGTAAAACTTGGCAAAGAAGGTCTTAAGGACTCACAGGGGAGAGTGGAGGGCGCCTGCGGCGACGTGGAGGAGGAGGCTGCCCTGGCCGTCATTGAAGTGCTGCTTTGAGAAGTCATTGAAGGGTGAGGAACATGGGGGAAAAAGTAACTCGTCTGTCCTGCTAGGAGGTTTACAGAGCAGGGATTTAGGGAATAGGTGCCGGAGCAGGGAACTGACAAGCCGCACGGCACTGAGGCGGCCAGAGCTGCTGCTGTGAGGTGATGAGTGGCATAAGGTATCTCTCCATTGACTAGTCTATCAACACTTAACCCATTAGACGTGGAAAAGGAGTGGTTGTTTCCCAAGGAGTTTTGAGTCAACACTGAGCTGTAGGGCATGGGGTGGCTGGGGTAGGCGGACGTGGTCCCATTGTAACTCAAAGTGCTGCTGGCCCGGGGGTGGTGCAGGGAGAGGAAGGGGGACATAGGCCAGTACAAGGATCCTGCCCTATCCATGAATGTCAGTCCGGTGGAGGTGAGCCGGGCGCCCCGCTTGAAAGCCAGCTTGGCCCGCGAGGTGGTGGAGCGCCGGCGGAGCTTGCCGGTGGTGCCCCCGATGAAGACGTCGTCGCTGGAGGGGTCCAGCATCCAGTAGTTCCCTTTGCCCGGGTCGTCGTAGTGGCGGGGCACCTTTACGAAGCACTTATTGAGAGAGAGGTTGTGGCGGATGGAGTTCTGCCAGCCCTGCTTGTTCTCCCGGTAGTAGGGGAAGTTCTTCATGATGACCTCGTAGATGCCGTTGAGCGTGAGGCGCTTCTCGGGGCTCTGCCGGATGGCCATCATGATGAGCGCGTTGTAGCTGAACGGCGGCTTCTCGTACTTGCCGTTTTTCTTCTCCCCCTCCTTGCCGCTCTCCCCGTCCTTGGCCCCTTCTGCCGCCCCCTTCTTCTCCTCCGTCGCCTTCTCCTTCTCCTCCAGCTCCGCCG